AAAATGAGTACACAGTCGAAAAATCGCTGAAAAATGTTTGATGAAAGACTTATCTTTGGCCATCGATTTAGTTCTACTACAGGAAACTAATGTTATGACTTATGACATGCAATGCTAATCTGTTTAGGAAAATATCGAGTGGATAGTGAACCACAGCAACAATTGAAAAAATTAAGAAGAAAAAGAAAAGAAAAAGAAAATCAGCACACCATATAATACCTTGGATATTGTAAGGGCAGGGCTCCACTGCTCTTTGAGGATATCCAGGCAAATGCTACCATTGCTGTTGATATTCGGATGGTAAACCTTAGTTTTGAAGGAGACCTGTTCAGCACACAAGTAGAGACAAAAAAAATTATGACAGAACTGAGGAAAAAAAAAGGCTTGTTCTTTCCAAATCCGCAAAATGCATGATTGCACCAAAACCCAAACACGTCGGTTTTAACAAGTTGCGGTGATAAATAACTAACAAAAGATCATGCACTTAAATATTACAAAACAAAAAATACTACAGGCCCAACATAGAAGTTATGAACAAGTTACCTTGGGTGGTTTGAATGGGTAATCGGGAGGAAAATGGATAGTGGCAAGAAACAAACCCCCAGAAAACGGGCTGTCTGAGGGGCCCATAATGGTAGCTTGCCAATGGAACATATCTTCACCAACAGGCCCTGCATAAATTACGACATGATATGTTGAGCTTAATGATGGTGCTCTTGGTTCCAAAATAAAAAGGAACTTCCCTCAGGATATTCGACTCTTGACACGGTTACTAATTAGAAAAGAAGAAGTCCAGACGTTAAAACAATAGTCCTTTAAACTGATAACTTCGCCAATCAAGAGATCAGTATTCATGATGAAGGATTAAGAATGTGCCAATTGAACTTCCACATACTCATGCAAAGTTATAAGCTTTGATAAGCCATAGTTTTTTTGGGTTAATTAAAATGCATCTCAGGCAGGACTTGCACTATTATTAGTTGCAGTTGTAGGAAAAGCACATCAAGGTTCACATTTTAATATAAAATAAAAGATGAAATTAAAATCAAATTCTTTTGGAAATATATCACGAACCAGCACTGCAGGAGGCAGGAGGGTCCTTTTGCAGATCCTTCAATTCCTTCACGATTCTCTTCGAAGCCATCACGATTTTTTCCTGCCGAAAACTAAGATCACCTACACACCATATTATAATCATCAAATGAAGAATATTAGATATACGAGATAAACCCATTTCATGGAAGATTGAGTGAGTTCTTTTCTGCTCATCACTCAGCCAAAACCAACAAAAAAACAACCAAAAATACCATTTTTAAAAACCCTCGTCACACACACTCTCCACACCCAAAATTAAAGAAAAGAACAGAGAACACAAGACACCCCAAATTAAATGCTTAAGCACAAAACAAAGCAGTTCAATGATCATCATGAACACACACGTACCATCAAATTTGTAAACACTAAAAATCAATTTAGCCACATTCAGCACCTAACAACAACAAAATAAAACCAAACCAAAAACCCAGTTCTTATTGCCAAGTATAAAACCAATTTATACTTAAAAACAGCATCAAGATAGCAAATTTCACACAAATACAGAGAAATATCACAAGAAATACACAGCCCATATATATAAATTGCAAAAATAAAAAAACCCTGATAAAAAAAGTCCAAATTAAATCAACATGCGCGAGAAAATTCAAATCTGAGCCCGAGATTAATAAACCCAACTAAATTATAAACCCCTAAATCAGACCTGATAGTACTCAGAGAGAGAGAGAGAGAGAGAGAGAGAGAGAGAGAGATACCCCTGCGATTACAATCCTCGATCGAGGCAGGGAGAGAGATGAGGAGAGGAAGAAAACCTAATGAAAGCAGCAGACAAATTCGATTTTGAAGGTTGATTAATGACGCTAAAAGAGGAAGAAATATATCCGAGGAAATAAAAATACTGACTGTATATACGGTTGGTTGCCAATGGCGGTGGCCAGTGGGCCCAAAAGCCAATGAGCACACGTGTGATTAAATTTTTAATTGCTATTAAAAATGTTTAAAATTTAAAGTAGTTTTTAAATTTTGTATGTTTTTAAATGATAATCAACATTTACATTATAATAGTTTTTCTTACTCATATTGTTGTTTGTATATTATATAGTTTTTCTTACTCATATTCTGTAGTATACAAAAGGAGGAAAAAAGTCATTCGACAAAATATGATAGGCTTATAAATGTAAGTTAATGTTAGTAATTTTATTATTTTAATTAGAATTGATTAGGTAATATTATATTTATTCAGAAAAGCAGATGTATTTTTTTATGCATATAATATGAATGTCAATCGAATATTGTCAATAGATGATTAGTCTAATATATCATTAATGAAAAATTAATAAAAAATAAAAACTATTAGATTTTAAAATATAATTATAATTCAAGTTACAAAATAAGACAATTCTATAGAATTGATTATATTGTGTAAAAAGTCTTTTGCTATAGTAAATATCATATTGAAGTAAAAATCCCATTTGCAAAAAGTAATCTCTTGCTTAGCTATAAGCCTCCACCTCTCCTCGGCTGCAAATTCCGAGGCGCCACTATGTCAGCTCGTCACTAGTCTAAGCGGTTCGTTTCATTAGGAGTCGTCGTCCCCACCTCGATGCAGGTTTCGATACAATCGTGTTTATGGGTGGTGGAGTGAGTTTCGGCTGGCGCCGATTTGGTCGATCAGTTGGCCTTGGCCTTCTCTAGGGAGTATGTCGGGGTTGAGGTATGGTCCCTTTCTCTCTTTCTTTTGGTTCCTAGTGTTGGGGGTCGGTCTTGGCTGGTATGTGTGGGTTGGTGGGGAGAAAGGGGTTGCCTCCGGTAATTGCTATGTGGGTGCCCGTTTTGGATAGGAGTCTAGTTCGTTTGCGGTAACAATTAGTCACTTGCTGGAGTTTTTGGCTCAATTCTCATGTTGAGATTCTATCCATTGTGCGGTCGTCTTCGGGTGTCGAGCCGTGGATGTAGCGGATTGTTCGTCGGCAGGGGGAGGGTTTTATTTTAGTATTGCTAGTGTTGGTGTTTATGTTGTGTTTTTAGCTGCCTTGTTGGTTTTTGTTTTGGTCTTCTTCTTAGAAGCTTCAGTCTCCCATGTGGGAGTGCATTGTTTGTTTGTACTGTGGGTGTATTAGTGTAATTATGTAGACTACCATTGTGTATGCCTCCCATAGATTCAAATGGTTGGTTTTTTGTTACTTGGGCTTTATCTGGGCTTTACCCTACTCATGCTGCGCTTGATGTTAGTGGGATCGCATCCGTTTTCCCTATTTTCTTTCACTTTATCACGATCGAATTGTGAGATGGACGGTAACACTACACCTCAAAAGTATTCTCGTAGGAGTATTTATTTTTTGAATAAGATAATGATAGTTTTCTTAATATTATCCTCTTCTAATTATTATTATTTATTTTTTTGGTACAAGGACCTTCCGGTTTTCAGATCCACAGGGAAACCGACTAATCCGGAATCGAACCGGGTAGGACCACAAGGGCGACAAAGCTCTCCCTCAAGAGTTTTAATACTACTGCATTCTCAGGACTCGAACAAGAGAGCACTGGTTACAGCTTTCTAATTATTATTTTGACTTGGTTGAAATATGAAAGTCTTCAGGCAGAAAAGTGCCACGTGGTGGGTAGACCACCAATCTTGGAGAGTCAATCAATATAGTTTTGAATTTACACTTGTGTATTTTTTTTATTTTTAATTATATGAATGTTTTCACTTGTGTTGTCAATCTAGTTGTACACTAGGTTGGTTATGTAGCATTACTCTAAAAAATAACATCAAATATGATTCTCACGGTTCTCACGTCATACATTATTTTTATTTGATGTACAACCTAGTGTACAACTAGGTTGACAACACAAGTGTAAACATCCACTTGTGTATTTTTTTTATTTTTAATTATATGAATGTTTTCACTTGTGTTGTCAACCTAGTTGTACACTAGGTTGGTTATGTAGCATTACTTTAAAATTAAATACAGAAACGCATCAATAACAGTAATAGTTATTGAATGATAACCACCTCATCAGTTCATTTGCTGGATAGGATTGGCTTTATGATAAATAATTAAATATATTATTTATTATTATTAATTGTGCTAGATTAAGTTACATATAACCATATATAAATATATATATATACATTATATATGACGTGGTTCAAATGAGAACCAAGTCCTAATGTGAGAGCCATGAGAATCGTTATTTTTGATTATTTGTAGTGTTATGATTTATTTTGTTATAATACTATTTTTAACTAGGATGTATATTATTAAAAATAGAAATAAAATTTCTATTTACATTGTGAAAATAATAGCAAAATACAATATTAAAAATAACATCAAATATGATTCTCACGGTTCTCACGTCATACATCATTTTTATTTGAATTATTTCATTTTTCCCTGGTGGTGGGCTTCTAAGGTCAACACAAAAAAGGTGTAAGCAAAATATTGTTTTAAGCTTTCATTCACATTCATACCATTTCATGGAAGGTTCATTCAGCAGAAAGGTATTTTGTGTTTATGAATTTGTAATCAATTTGTCTTCTCTTTTTTTTGTGATTCAATTCAGATCATTTTTGCACCCATCAAACAAAAAAATTGTTTTTTTTTTTTTTTTGCATA